GTTGCCATACATTATATGAAAAATAGTGAAATATTGCACAATTCAAGAAAGAGCATAACAGTTGTTTTCATAGAAAAGTCTTCTTTGTTCGTCCTTATCAACTTTGGGCATATGAATAATTTCATCATGGTAAGTAATGTTGTCCTGGGTTTAAGCCATTGATAGTTTGAAAATGATGAAACCCTGCCCAGATGGCCTTGATGAATTAGTGGTCATTGCCTCACATTTTCAAATACCTTTTTCCTAGTACACAGGGTACTTACATACAAGCAAATATTACCAGCTAATTTGTTCATAATTTGAGCCTAGGATTTCATTGTCTATTACTTCAGAAGTCTCAGTTCATCTTGGCCTTGTCTTCATGCTGAGCTGAATAAGCATTTCTTTATTAGTTCCTGGCTTATCTTTTTCCTGCTCTGTTCACCTGGACCAACATTATTCTTCAAAAGTGGATTAAACAGGAAAATACCACTGTTTCTTCTATAAGTGTTAAATGTAGGCACTTCCAAGTGTAGTACTCTGTAACACTTATGCAGATCGGTAGCCTGTGCATTCTCATTTTCCCTTGGGTAGAGGGTAATAGATGGTCCTTCTCGATATGTAAATTGACTTAAAGCTGGTCTACTGCCCACCTTATAAATGTCTAAATGCTCCTGTACGGAAAAAAGATGTCAGAGATGTACAAACGGGCAGCCTGGCTTTTTGGAAAGTGTTGGGTAAGCAGTTTCCCTCAAGATAGGATGCAAGTGCAACAATAAAGGTACCTATTGGAAGGTGTCTGTTGTGTTGATAAGAGTCAGGCAACCCAGAGACAAGGAGAGAAAGTGGGAGCTGATCCTGTTCCTGCTGAGACTTCTGGGAGAAATATTGCTGGATTTCAGTACGGACAGTTGTGCTGGATGAATATGCTTATCTAGAAATAAAACCCGGTTTTCCAAGTAATTTTTTTTTCCTATCAGAAGTCCAATATGTGGGAATTAATTTCTAAAATAAGGATTGGAGTATCAGCTATGATCTAATTTAATAACTTGAGGATATGCAATGCACCCTACAAATGTTAATGAACTAATCACCCAGCAGACTTCTGGGGTAGGAAAAATGTGATCTCTGTGTTACAAATGGGAAACTGGGGCACAGAAAAGATCAAAGATTTAGATTAGCCCTTTAGTTCTGTTCATAATTAATACACTTACCATGTACAAAATTAGCAAGTTAAAAAAAGAAAATGATGTAGAACTGTTAGCTGCAGAAGTCAGAGAAACTATTTTATTAAGCAATTATATAGATCTCCAAACCTTTCACCTCTGAGTATAAATCACGATTTAGGGGCATCAAATCAACTTCTTTTCCTTGTGGCTAATATTATTTTCCATCCTCTTACACTTCTCAGGTGCCAAAATAATGAAGTGGTGATACTGTTTTCATTACAAAATCCTGAAGAGAACAGAACAAAAAAACTAATGTGCTCAAAATAAATCTTGACATTACCATGTGTTACATTAAAATTGATTAGATTAAGGATCTTGCACATCATTTTTATGGTCTTTACAGCAGCATAATTCCACTGCCTTTAGCCTAGTACCTCTGATTTATACTAGTGTGTGTGAAGTTGGGCTATACTTGTAATTTGATTCCATGTATGCAGCTTTCAGCTGCAATTTTTCACACCCTTCAGGAAGGTTACACATAATCCTGGCTGCCACCATCCAAGTGGGAGTTTACCAGAATAGAATAGGGCAAAGGATGACTTTGTGTAGCTCATGTAATCCAGTCTGTAGTTACATGGTACGATATTTTTCTTTATGATGATTACATGACAATGCTGAATAAAGATTTGATCTGAAATATTTCAGCCTTTAGGGTCCATTTTTTTGTTGTTTGAGAAGCCTTTTCCCCCTTGTTCTCAAAAGACCTTCTAGATACCTTGTGACCATGCAGTTATTAAGGCCCAGTATACAAACTATAGTTTTCCAGAAAGAATTTGCAGTTCAATGGAAAAATGTTTAGTAATGGGATAAAATTAATGTTGCATCAGTGAGTAAAAATGAGATCAAACACAAATGTGAGATAGTTCCTACCTGGTTATGCATTAGCAATTTTATTTGTCCTGAGACGTTTTCATTTCTCGCTAAAATAATGTGGGATAACAGTTACTGCTAATCCTTTCAAAAATATATTCCTTCCTTACCAGCACTCCCCTTACAATGAGAATTTCCCTGTTTCCCTGGAGATTCTCCTCTCATCCGTGCTGTGGGGTTAATCCTGGAATCCTCATTCAGACAAAAAAAAAAAAAAAAGCATTAACCTTCCTGGAATATTTCCCCAGGCTTTGAGAAAACTCTGAGGATCTAGCTTTTAAGTTTATAGGGAATCTTTCCTCTTTCATTTACAATGGTGCTGTATTAGCATGTCTTAGTAATGCTTAACTTCAATGCTTTGACTTTTAATTTGAAACATGGCTATTAAGGTGATAAAGAAAGGTACTGCTAGTTTTCTGGAATGTCCTCAATAGTTTTGAGAGGTATTACATTTTCTCCTGTGTTGAGTATTTTAGTGCTCTCCCATTAATTTTTATCTCCAAACATAAAAATGAACTCTTTCTGATGTGAATCGTGAAGAATATGAATATTATATACTCTTTATACATTGATTTTCAGTTTCTGTTCTGTTATCAGGTATTTCTGTTACCCATTTTGGTTTTATGGTGCTATTTTTGAAGTTATGACTTTATCATTGCAATTTCAAATGGTACATTCAGGACAACTGAGCAAAAATAAACAATTCTGTTCTGATCCTGATTGCATCCGAACCTGCTGCAGTCTCTGATTCTACAGGGCTGGCAGTACTTCCCTTCAAGTGCAGGTTGCATGCTAAGTACATCTTTGTGGGATTCAGTGGCTGGTAGGACCAGCTCTCAGCATCTCACAGGAAACCCACAGGGAAGATCTAGTTACATATTTCTTGAATTTCAAGTAGGTAGGAACACCCTGGTTAAAGGCATGTTTTTCACTCAAGCTATTATTTTATATAGATTAGATGTATACAGTATATCAGATTATCTGTATAAGTATCAGGTAACTACTCCTGCTTTGCTGGTGGAACAACTTATTTGCCATGGCAAGCACAGCTGTCTTCTAGCCTTCGAACCAGATTAGGACTTCAGTGCCTTGGTTGCTATTTGGTTATCTTATTCCCTTGGCTGGCTGTTTCTTCATTCTGGTCCTCATTTTTCCTGCCTGTAAAGGATGACAATATCAAGACAGACTTGCCTTGAGATAAGAGATATCAAAGCATGCATGCAAAGCTGAAGCCTATGTTAGAAACTTCAACCTTGGAATTTGTCTACTTTCTTTGCTGATAGTCCTCACAATATTTGTGGAAGGTTACTTACTTCAATTTCAAGATTAATGCGCTTTAACATAGACAAAACAAACCAAAACTCACTCTCACACACACACACAAAACAAACCTTGTCTGCTGTGCTTTAGGGATACTTGCATCCTTGAACATCCTGTTCTTGTCCCTCTACGGAGCCATGGACTCTCTTTGTGAAAGAATGGGGAACAAGGGAAAAGAAAGAGTATGACTTACTTCCTCTGGGTTGTACCTTGGAGCAAGAACTGGATCGGCCAAGGAGTGCATTCATATGTGAAAGCTGTGCAGTGCTCATGTGCCAAGGGAAATATAGATTCAATGTGGACTATGGTGGCAATCCCAGATTTGGTATTGTCAAACCTTACTCATCTTCTCAGTTGGTAATAGCAATTTACTGATGAGGGGAAAGTTGTAGTCCCCACCAACATCTGCTGACAAAATGGGTTGACCATGTGCTGAACTGTACATGTTGTACAGTTTCACCTGCAAGGACAGATGAAAATCAGCTTTTGAGTTACCATCAGCACCAAAAGATCAGTTTTTTCATAAAGTCATCTATGCTGAGTAATTCTGCTTTTACTTTACATTAAAAAAAGAGAATTTCTTCCCATTTTGGAGTTTTCTACATTTGCAGAACAGATATTTTGGAATACAATACCTCTTTCTTATAATTATTTGAGACAGGTATGTTTCAGTATTGTAAAGCTGATGACAAACATGAGGATAATTGGCAATATTTGTTATTATTCTCTAGGACTTTAGGATCATCCAGTAACTTCTGAGTCACTGTTGCTTTTTTGTTGGTATTTTTTTTAAATTTTTTAAATTTTTTTCATGACTGGTCAGAAAAAAATCTGAGTCCACAAATGAAACGTGCACCAAGGTCTAGGAGGTAAAGGGTAAGAACTGAGTTGTCCACTTGCTGAAAAAATTCATGCCTTCCACCCCAGCTGGCAGCCCAGAGGCAGCAGGGGGGAAGTGGTGAGGGACAAGGGTCCCAGTGATTGTTTTGGGATGGCAATACTGGTTCTGGTGCTGAGCTGCAGCTTTCCTCCACATTCACTCATGCAGCAGCTCTGATGTACTGCAGCCTCTTGGGAGCTGTTATTTAGTGCTGCAGGAGCTAATTAAACCCTGGGAAGCAAAGTGCTGGAAAAGTGAACCTCAGCTATATTTGTGAAGCTGCACTGCCTTATTTTCTTTCCCTTTCCCTTTCCCTTTCCCTTTCCCTTTCCCTTTCCCTTTCCCTTTCCCTTTCCCTTTCCCTTTCCCTTTCCCTTTCCCTTTCCCTTTCCCTTTCCCTTTCCCTTTCCCTTTCCCTTTCCCTTTCCCTTTCCCTTTCCCTTTCCCTTTCCCTTTCCCTTTCCTTCCTCCTTCCTCCTTCCCCTTCCCCTCTCCCCTCCCCCCTCTCCCCTCCCTTTCCCTCCCCTCACCCTTCCCCTCCCTTTTTTTTAAGGGTCCCCAAGGCCATATAAGTGTCCTTACCTGCTGTCTTGCCAGAAGCTGGCAAGCTGATGATAAGTTTTGCTCCCCTCCAGCTTGCCCAGGCCAGGCACTGAGGCCTGATGTCGTTCCTTGATACCCCCCCCCTGCAGTGGTAGTAGAGGGGTGATGGCTTTCATCCCAAAACTCCTGGTGGTTACTGCCTGCTAAGACCCATAGCCCGCAATGGGAACAGGCTGCCTGCCAGACTTTCTCCACTATCCCAAGATATAATATAGGGTTTTCTTATCTCCAGGTATGATTTCCTGCTGTGTTTTTTTTCTCCTTCGGGGAAGGCTCACTAGATGGCACTGTGTTCCTGCTGGACAAGCCACCTTTGCTTCTAGGGTAGGTGAAAGGCATCATTGCCTTTGTCTTTACTTTCATCTGTCTGCCTTCAGTCTTTACCAGCGGGGGGGGGGGGAATTGGGTATTCATTAATAAAATGTGCTTTAGTACAGTTTCCCATTCCAGCTTCAGGAGCCCTGAATCATTTGCCCAAGGGAATCTCTAGTTAGAATAATACACTTTATATTACATGATTTTCTACTTTGTTCTTTCGGTGTGCTTCTCTCTTCCTGTTACTGCCCATGCAGCAGGCTTGGAAGGCATAGAGAAAAGTGGGACTGCAAGTTTAGCGCAAGACTAAACTTTCTCAAATGTGGATGTTGCCTTGCAAGTTTGGAAAACAAATCAAAATAGTAAGTGTGTATGTTTGACTACATGCACATAAATGGCTAAAACACAGCTATCCAATGACATGAGCACATAATGTTGTTCACCAAGTTGTAGTTTCAGGAAATTCTTGCTGTAAATATTTTAATAGAAATATCTTTAAAAAGTGCTTGACCAAAATCAACTTCAGCCACCAATCCTACAACTCTGGGATGAAAGTCTCATGATGAGAGAGTTGCTTGGGGCAGTTAAAAGTTTCTATACCATTTTAGGATCTACAGATCCATAATTTGGCAGAAAAAGAGAATAAAGTGATGAAAAAAAAAGGACTAAAAATGCTAAAGGACTAAAAATTAATTGTTTACCTTGGGCTGAAGCCTGAATGAAAAGCTTTTGGTCATTTCCTATTGGCTCCACAAACCTTAATATACTACTGCTTCTTTCTGCAAGAAGTGTTGCCAAGCAGAAGTACGTGGAAGAAGTGGGTGTTTGAGCTCTTCTTCACAGTGTCAGAGAATTCCTCACTACTGTGTTGTTTTGATTAGTAGCTGACTTAAATGCAGAACAATTACCAAAGGCAAAAATTCCACTGCTGGGGGGCCAATTTATACAAATTTGTGCAGAACAGTGTTGCTCAAAAAATGTGATTTGTGGCTTAATGCTGTTTAAGTCCATTTTTGGATTGCAAACACAATTTTAAAAAAAAGTATGTGAGTTTTAAAATTGAACAGCTTGAAATGAGAGGGATGCAATTTCCTCTCTTCAATTAAGGAGGTTTGTTATGAAGGAGGTTATACTTATCAGCCTAAGACAAATGAAGGTTGATAGCTGAACTCTAACAGATACTTCATGTTTTCTACAAGTCACTAGGCACGGATTTCTATATTTACTGTATTTCCCTCTTAAGTTCACAAAAGGATATTCAGTTCTGTGAGATCTTGCTGCAACTGGAGGATGTAGTAATTCTACAGGCTTCATTCTCTCCATAGCAATTGTAAATGAGTCAAGCACTGGTGCAGCTGTGCATACAGTAGCTATGTGAAAGCAGACATAGAAGTAGGCCCTGTACAATGCCTAATGTTATTCTCACCTGAAGCCCCTATACATAATGCCTCCTAGGCTGCAGAATGCTGCAGAAAAAAGTGCTGTGAAGAAAGTGACTTGGTAGTCTCTAAACCTTGAGCATCTCTTGCATCTGCAATGACTTTTAGTGAAGTCTATCTAGTGTTGCACAGACCCATATTTCAAGTCCATGTAATTAATGCAGTTCATTTTCCTTGTCAGTGCAGAACTTGTATAGAACTATGCTCCAGACTCACAAACAAGACAGTCTGGACTAAGGTGGCCTGAGGAAAACACTAGAAGGAAAGAGTAGATGTCATATTCTGAGCTGGGCTAGATGCAGGCAGAATGAATACTGGTTCTGCTCAGTTGGAAAATAAACTCATTTTCAGTGAGTTTGGTTATAGAACACATGATGAGTAGAAACTCAGGGTAGCAGTATGTGAAGGAGGGGTCTTAGATATCTTGGTGCAGTCATATTCGATGATTCCAATTGGATTCCATGTTATATAACTTGTGAAGACACTTATTTTCCTTGTGTATAAGCAGTTATGTGGTTTGAAGTTAACATGATCCAATGATGTAATGGACAAAACTAAACAAGAATTGGAACTGACCAAACTTAGCAATGTTGTGAGAGTAATTCTAGACTGGTTATTGAGGGAGAAAACCCAGAGATGTTTAGCCATAAATTATAATAATGTTAGACAGATGAAATTGAAGTGTGCATTAGGGTTTTGTAACTCAAGGACACTAAGGACAATATTAAAGGTCAAAGTGCAACTTATGTTTCTGAATATCTGCCTGTGGGAACTGAGGTGGGGGACTGTAAACCTAATCCCTGGTGCCTGTAAGTCTTATTACAGGATCTTCTCATTCCTACAGCTGTATGGATCATTGAGCAGTCGGAATGGAGTAATCTTCCTTCTCTGCTGATCTGTGACACAAGGTATTATGTTTTCTGAATAACATTTATCATGCAATAGGATCATAAAATGCAAAAAAAAATTCTCCAGAACAACCATTTCAATTGCTGGATGAAGTCTTGTTGTGTTCTCAGTCAGTGTTTGTCTCTTCAAGGGTAACTTGTACCAACTGGAGAGCGCGTATATGGAATCTTGGTGACATATACATCTGCTACAAAAAGGAGACGTTAATGATCACTTCGTTGAGGTACAGCTGAGTTCTATTCATCCTTGAAAAACAAAACAAAAAATTGCTAACCAATGGTAATCACAGACCTGCTGTAGCTATTAACACACAATCTTCACTTGGAGATACAATGTTTCTGTCTCTGTGTACTTGATTATGTAGGTGCACAACTCCATGTGACATCAGCAGATCAGTGGGCTGAAGCAGATGAATCTCCACCTGGTGTATCAACATTATTGATGGTTTTGGTATTTTATTTTGGATTAGACTTAATCTGTTTCCCTGACATCTCATACATTGTCTTGAAGGACCACTCACCAGTTCAGTCCTTTTCTCTCTCCACTATGGACTGGGGTGAGCTGTGTAGAGAGAGGAACTTTGCATAGCGAGTCTGGTTTGAATGTACTAAGGCTACTCTCCAAACCGTACTGCTGGGTGGTAAAATGAAACACTCAGGACAACACTGTGCTGCTGCTCTGAACCAGAGCAGTAATGTGAGCATAACCCAGTGACCTCGTGTTTTGGGGTCAAACACTTCTGGTATCTTAGCTAGACTGTTTTGTTCTCGAGTCATTACAAACACAGCAAGGAACTTGTTCCTTTGTCTGCAACATTGTCTAATGAATCACTTAGCTCACCATGGCAGTTAATCTTTTTTTTTTTTTTTCTTTCTAAAATACATGTCATGACACAGTTGTTAGGTCATGTGCCCTCAGGATGTTCTTCATGCTGTTTTTTTAACCTGTTAGAACAGAAAAGAGAGAAAAAAAAAAAAGCCACGAAAAAACCAAACCCTTCTCTCTTGAGCCTCTAAACTCACTGGTGATCTTAAATTTGAGTCATACAAGCTCGCTTGTTCTTCAGCACTATGCACTGATAATAGTTACTCTTTAATTTAAGGATGGCTAACAGCCATGATTTCCTATGCATATTTTTCCTTTGGGTACCAAAAATGAGATGCACATTAGCTGATTTTGGAGAGGCACTAAGTCTATCCAAAACACAAGGGTTGTATTGCTTTAGCCCTCTTGACTATTCCAAACTCAGCACGTCTGTTTTTTAAGAATGTAGGTGTGCAAATGAAGAAATGAATTTTGATTTTCTTCAGCAGGTGTCACAGTCACACAGTCCGTGTAAGTTTGAGATAAATCAAATTGTATCCTTGCAGGTGATGGAAAATGTGAAAGAACAAGCAGCAAGTGAAGAGATCAATGTCAGTATTTTCAGATTAGGCTGCAAAGTTCTCTTCCTTTTCTCTTCCAGACCACCATATCATAGACTTTTTCACAGATTGCTCAGGCTTTGTCTTAAACTTATCTGAATTTCTTCTCCTTAGTTTCTCCAGAGTTATTTGAATTTTCCAGGACCTCACTGTTCTGCTGGTTAGACAAACTTGTTTTCCAGTTTAAATTTATTCAGAGTTCTTTTCTAACACATAGGTTTTATGTGATTAACTGAGACATCCAAGACTTCTGTTCTATTAGTAGTTTCCAAATATTGTTTCTCCAATTTGGTGGAAGGCTATCATTATTTTATTAACTAATTTTTATTTGTCAAGTTGTTTACCCAACTTCTTTCTCTGGAATTCAAGGGCACTCAGTTTCTCTATGATGATGTTCTGGTCTTCCTCTTCATTAATGACATCTCCTAGCTTTGTCAGCAGTAAATTTCATTATTATTTTTTGATATCAAAATCACTGATAAAAACATTGAGGAAATATTAATCAAAGACCAGTGACCAAATTATTAACTCTTCTCTGACTCAACTTGTCTGCCCTGTGTTGGCTGTAGGCGCATGCAAGCTCCTCATTAATGCAGTAATTCTCCTCATCAATGTAGCAATTCTCCTCTTCCCCAGTCAAATCACTGATTTTCTGGACAGCACTGTATCACACACTTTGCTAAATTAGATCCAATGTATTTACACAGAATCAGTTGCTGCAGTGGGAAGGAATCTCTGAAGATTATCTAGTTCAAATCTCTCTTCAATGCTGGGTTATCTCACACTTAGAGAAAAAAAACGTCTAGTCTGGTGTGCACTTGCCAAATGAAAGTTGCACTTTACCCAGATTTGGTTTTGTCTTTCCATCTTTAACAAGTTTCTGATGGGACATGTACCTTCACCTTGGTGAAATGCCTTTGTATGCATGTGTTAGGGGAAAAAAAAGTGCTTCTTGTTACGAGGGAAAAACTCTAGTAGGCTACTGTTGAATCAAATCTGTAGGATGTAGTTTAATTGATAAGAATCTGTAGTATGTTACTGGATTTTTTTTTTCCTGCCCATTAGATGTCAACGGAAAAAATATGTGTATTTTTGACAAGTGCTATTCCTTGGTATCATTGCCTGTATACAATTTTGTTGTTTTAATTTTCCTTTCTAGTGCAAATGATAGCTTTGCATTTACAGACCTTGAAGCTACCTCACAGTACTCTCTTGGCAGTCCAGTTTTGAGGTAAAAGCATCAAGTAACATACCCAAGGTGAAGGATGGGATACTCTCTTCTTTCAGCTGCTCTGGCTCCCACTGTCCCATGGGTGCACTTTAGGGTGTTAGATGTGACGCTAAATAGTTTGAGAGCAGAACCACATTTCCAAAGCTGAACCCTTTTCTTGATTTTTGATTTAAAAAAAAAAAAAAAATTGGGAGGAGAGTAGTAGGAGGAAGAGTGGATAGGGAGCTGTCAGCTGTAATACACTTTTTCTGAAATTCATTTTCTACTCTGAACTTGACGCAGATGGGGTTTCCACGGTTCTAACACTTCAGGCACATCAGCAGTTGCTAGCTTTCAGGACAGGATGCAGCCCCCTCCTTACTTTCTAAACCAGCACTCCAATCCACCCACCTTCCCTTTCCAACCTTAGTTTCCTTGTGCTTGGGAACTGCTGAATCATGGCCTGAACCTCTGATAGATCACCTGAGGCAAGCAATGAGTCAGCCATGGGAGCACAGCTGAAGGCAATTCACCTGTGCTGCTGGAAGGGGTGGAGCCAGGCTCCACCTCTCCTAGACCCACTTAAGAGCTGACTACCAGTAGGGAAGGATCTCTCCTGGAGATCTAGTTTGCTGGAGTTTCATAAGTGAGCCTAGGGTATGGGTAAGCTTTTTTTATCTAGTCTCTTTCTGTTATTTATAATCTGCTTTACCTAACTCTCTTGTGTATTTTGCAGTTGTAACATCTTAGTATTCACTGATTATACACCTTGCTTCTACACATACATTTTAAGCTACAACTTGCTCCCTCACTCCTGTTTCTTCCCCCTCATTTCCTGTCTGACAAAATGGGGACTCCAGTCCTATCCCTCTTCTTTCTTAATTGCTCTTCTTCTTTAACCTCTGGGGTAACCAGCCTATGACTAGCCCTTTTTCTATCCAAGCCCAGTGCTCCCTTCCTCATCCTATAGAGATCCATTTACACTGGAGTTACAGGTATAGTTGTGTTGAGTGCTAATTGTATCAGCATGTCATCACACTTTGGGAGCCATGAGGGATTCACCCACACAGACATTATTAAGAATATCTGCTGCCACCCACCGTGCAAATTCACCTGGAAGAGATTTCTGTATGCCTTGAAGTCAGGAATCTCTGATCTTGATGTAGGACTTGTGAGACTGTCATGAAAACAGAAGGACTGAATTTTTAGGTGTGACAGGTATATGTTGTGAGTGTGGAGTTGGGAGAGGAAGGTCTGTACATAAGATGCAAGAATGTGAACTGGTCATCCATGGTATTTTAGTGTCTGTAACGTTTTGCCCCCTATCTTATGAAAGAATTGTAGAAAGGCCTGGGTTGAAAAGGACCACAATGATCATCTAGTTTCAACCCTCCTGCTATTTGCAGGGTGGCCAACCACCAGACCAGGCTGCCCGGAGCTGCATCCAGCCTGGCCTTAAATGCCTCCAGGGATAGAGCATCCATAACCTCCTTGGGCAACCAGTTCTAGTGTGTAACCACCTTCTGGTGAAAAACTTCCTCCTTATATCTAACCTAAACATCCTCTATCACAGTTTAAGACTATTCCCTCTTGTGCTATTACTGTTCACCCTCGTAAGCAATCTTTCTCCCTCCTGTTTACATGCTTCTTATCAATTTTGAGCATGAAGCATTCAGTTTTGCTTCAAATTAACTGCTAGTACAAAAGAAATTTCACTGAAGACAATTTAATCATTTACAGATATGCTTGAAATGATCATTTTCTGTCAGCATCAACAGCTATCTTTATGATAGCTACTTTCTTGTTTTTATAGTATAGCAATATTTCCTTTTCTTTCTGAAATATTTGAAGAATGGCATTTCTGACAAATCCCAAGTAGCTGGAAATTGTTCATATAACTTACTGAAACTAATTTGAGTATGCTTAGAATGGGTCAATTAAACAGTTGTTGAAAATTTGAGTAATAAATTGATCGTTGTCGATTTTGTTATGTTAGTATGCTCTTTATAGCCGTTGCTACCCCCACAGATAAAACTGCTAATGTGCTTCTAATACTCAAGAGGCATGCTTCCCTGATAAGTCAATCCTTCATAAACAAAGCAGTGTGAATCATGCAGAAAACTCGTGGAAACCTGTGGCCTGTTGTAGGATAAGATTGACTGGAAAAGCTTTCAGGCATACAGGTAAAGCGTGCTCAGATAGCAAGGAAACACGATTTTTCGGATCAATCTTTGTAAAAGCTCTATCAGTATGTATTCACAGAACTTTTTATAATGAGGATGTGTCAGTACCTTATTTATAGGCACATTTTAAAGGTAAGTACTTGTTTTTCCCACTGGTAACGTATTCAGCAGGCATGAAAGAAAGAGGCAGAAGCATTTTAAAAGATAAAGCTGGATGATCCAGGCAATTGAAGTCATGTAAGTGTTGACCAAGGTGAGCTAAATGAATCTCACCTCTCCTCAGAGATTTGTCCTTTGGGAAGGTGGGAGACACATTTTTTCCTGCTCTTGCCTTTCCATCTTTGTCAATATTATCTATTTACACTGATGTGTCTTTGGAAGAGAGAGGTCTGGATCCAATCCATTA